GAGTTTCACAAAATCGTTTAAACTATTGCCTTTCTGAGTTCATCTGTTCGAATTTGTCTCGTTTACACAGCAAACTAGATTTTGTGCAGGAATTTCAACAACAACAACAAAGTAGTATAAAGTCGTATTTTCGTTTATAAAACACAGACGTTTCTTCCTGACGTTTAACATGTGGTAATAATAATAATAATAATAATAATAATAATAATAATATTTATTCAGGAAGCTCCACTCACCGAAGTGTTTTTCAGGGAGGTCCTGTAATATATATCTATATTATACTGTACATGCATGGTAAACTATACTATGCTTATTTAAAAACTATAAAATATTTGCAAATGGATTATATATAATTATACTTCATAGTTAGAAAAAAACCCAAAAAAAACAAAAACCCAAAAAATAAACAAGAAAAACAACAACTTAACTTAATTAGATAAATTGTTCAACTTAATTAGATAAAAGTCTGATCTGTTTGCCACCACCATATTAGTTTGAATTGATTACATCGTGACTTCTGCAAAAATGCATTAAGTGCCTGTGGATTGTGGAAATATGATTATACTTTATCATTTTTGACTTGGACTCGAAATATTTAAGACTTGGACTCGCAAATTTTGGACTTGAAATTTTGCTAAGCGACTTGGACTCGTACTCGGACTTGAATGTCTCGGACTTGGACTCGAAGTTGTGGACTTGACCACAACACAAAGGGAAAAATACTTCTGACTTCCGAACCTCTGTGTCAGGAGCAGGGCTTGAATTTTATCGCGGCAATTGCCGTAGAGGGAGAACAAAATGCCGTGGATTATTGCGGCAACGACGGCAATGTTTTGCCGTATAGTGTAATTTTTATACTATTCACTGTGCATTACTATTTCGATGCTTGAATTTAGATGTTGATCAAGTCATGCGTAAATTGCTATTTTAGTCTCAGTTTCCTTCGAAAAAAAAAAACACTTAAAGAAATACGTAAACATGTTTCTAGGTTGTCAACAATCCAAAGTAACAATAAACTTAAGTTTTTATTAATAATTTTATTTTAGTCCTCTCTGAGGACTGTACTCAGTATTCTTTATACAAAAGTATAATAATAGTGGATTTTAATATGCGTACTCGATCAAGTATTTGTCAATGTATGCTTCCTACGCGTACTCGATCAAAAAGTAAACGGCTATACGCTTTCTAAGCATACTCGATCAAAAGTATTAAAACGGGCAAACGGCTGCGGTACGCTTTCTAAGCTTTCTAAGCGTACTTGATCAAAACTTAAACGGCTGTACCCATATTCGGTGTACTCGATCAAAACTAATCGACTGTACGCATATTTTGTGTGTTCCATTTAGTTTATATTCAAAATATCCATCACATGTATCTAAACTATAAAACTTAATTCCATCGGAATCGAAATACTAGTCTACATCTACGACTACATGTGGCAGTCGGGCAGTGTGCCCGGCAGTCGGGAAATTTAGTCCTGAAGTGTTAAAAATATTCTCTTAAAAAAATTAAACCCACCCCACACACAACCCTAACTCCTAATCCTAAGACCTAAGCTTAAAATCATACTCAAAAGAAGTTGAAGAAAAAAATTTTTGGCTTGGGAATAAAACTGTTGCTTACGGTGCGTGAGCCCGGGAGGCCACGCTTCGCAAGCGGGCGCCTAAACCACTACGCCACAAGGAGCTCGCTCAGTTAACTCGTAAATAATGCACTTTAAAAGAGTAAGCTAAGATGTAAAATGTATAAAATCGTGATGCGAATACGCTGAATACGCAGATATTTTGCAAATCCTTTAGCTGGAGTAAACGCTTAGCAAGCGTCTCCTTAAAGGACTTAAACTGAAGCAAATTTTCTGAAATTTCGTGCAGCAATGAAGCACACAAAACATTTTTCACCCATTAACTCAAAATACGATTAAAGTGCATATGACATGAAATTTCTTATTTTCTTAAACGAAAGAACTCTTTAAGCTGTAGTGTAACTTATTTTTCAGTTTCTTGTTTTCATGGTTTGTTCCCGAGATATTTCAGTTTGTTTGATATGTAAATGAGTGTGAATATGTCCGCTAATTTATGACGTCACGTTGGTTGCAAGCTCAACTTACACTGGTTATAAATCTATTAACTCTAAAAACTGTAGATATCTGTTCATGTTTTTCTACAGTGTTTCATCACATTTACTAGCGAGTGAAGTTTGAAATTATCATCTTGGATGATAGCAGTGATATTCGACCATTTTGAAGAGCTTGCAACCAACATGACGTCATAAATTAGCGGACATATTCACACTCATTTACATATCAAACAAATTGAAATATCTCGGGAACAAACCATAAAAACAAGAAACTAAAAAATAAGTTACACTACAGCTTAAAGAGTTCTTTCATTTAAGAAAATAAGAAATTTCATGTCATATGCACTTTAAAGCTTTTAGATATTGTGCGCAAGCCATTTTTATTTTGTTGCCCGGTTTACAAAATTTGAGTTCGAGAATTTTTTTCATTCTACATTATAAGTACCCAAAGAAACTATATATGTAAAAAACTGAATACTAGTAGTTTTTTTGCGAAATTGAGAGCAATTTCAAATCTGTTCAGTTTTTTTTATATACCCTGTATACATGGCACCTCTTTCCTGACTGTGAGTGATGTATTAGATTTAAGTCCATAGTAGTAGAATTCTAGATACTGTAGTAATAGAATTTTCTTTTTCTTTTAGCGAACCGAGTACAACATCTCCACGAAAGACAAATAACAACCCTCGGCGAGATGCTGGTTATGAACGTGTTGACCTTCCTAGTGATAAGCCGCTTAGCAGACCGTATGAAAACGTCACCCCAGAAAATCTGAAGGAAACTAATGATACAGCACAACCAAAGCAGCGGTATGAAAATGTCACTCCTATGGTATCTTCAGCTAACGATAAGGCCAAGGCTCCTACTGGTCAATACGAGGACGTCTTTTTAGATTCTCCCAAGGAAGAGAATGGCGAGAAGAAAAAGAGGAACGATAAGTATTACGAAAATGTAGACCTGAAGAATTGATAGTACAAGAATAGGCAGTCGTTATAGATACGAAGATGTACATTTATCGTATACTGTTCAACTGTACACTCTATTTTCTTACATCTCAAATCTATGCCGCAGGGCACAACAGGGTGTGTTGTTATGACAGTTCTATATTGAAGCTGAGAAGAGGGCTGCAGTGTCAGACACGTAGACGGCAATGTAAAGGAATTGCTGCCACTATATACATGCATTTCATTCCATACTGGTGATAGGGTTAAATACAAATTGTATATTTGATAGAAGTTTATTCATACACAGAGACACTAAGTTCAATTTTGATGGTTAGGACACTAAGTTCAATTTAGATGGTTCAATGTTAGGTTATAAATATTAAGCGTGGTATTATACTTATAGTTGTATTTAAATTGAATGATTGACTATTCTAGTTATACGTATATATGTTATAGATTTTTATAATAGGTATAAGTTTTTCACACTGTTTAGTCATGTGTTGATTCCATTGTTCGCCGTTCGGTATTTGTAAGTGTATAATATATGACCTGGACTAATTATAATATATCAAATCTGGCTGAATACTTTACCGGACATTCAGTTCTCGCAGTTATTTCAGTACATGGTCTCTACAAAAGTGCAAAAGCTGTGTTCCAGATTTTTACACAGCTACTGTACAGTAATTATTTATTAGTGGGCATCGAAATTGCAATCTAAGAGATGAATTTTGACACTTAGAATATTAAAATTGATCTAGTAGAACCAATGTTATGACTGCTTTAAGTCTGGGGATCATTGAATCGTGCCTCAGCACCAGTTGTGTGAAGTATAAAAAGATTCGATGATACCTTTAAACAGCCATAACACAAAATTCATCTCTGAGATTGAATTTTCGATGCCCACGAATAATTGTATAGCTGTGCCTAGAACATAGCTATAATTGCATTTTGCACACCCTGTACATTTAAAACTCACTGCTCGCTGAAAAGCACCGTGTATATTTGGCGAAAAAGGTTTGTTTGTCATAGTTTTAGTATAATTAAAATTCATGTTTTCACCCGCTATAACTCTGATTTTTATATATGAATGCAAAATCCAGTCGAGTTGCATTCACGACCCAACGTTTCGACACTCCAGTCTAGTGTTTTCATCAAGAGTGATCTGAAGTCGCAACGTGGCTTCTTATGTACTCATGATGACGTCACCTGCTAACAAAGTGTACATTTTCTTGTGGCAAATAAGCACCGTCATATTTAGAGTTTAAAATAGAAACCGGCTACCGGCTGCCACCGGCGTTTTCACAGCACTATAGCCGGCAACTTCCATAAATGAGCAATGAGTTTTTCTTCTTAATTCATTGATGTATACAGTGAATTTATGGCCTATGGGTTTAAATGAAATATATGCTGTCCTGTCTTGACATAAAAAGATGGCGTTAAGCATTCTGGTAGCCATAAATCTGAATTTCTGGTAGCCATGAACTAGGTGGGAATCGTAATTGTATGATGAAAATCGATGCCCATGCGTCATAATGCATGCCAGAGCCATGGACAAGCCATGGATGGAACGTTTGTTCTCAGACTTGGTAATTATTTTAGAATTTTATTTTGTGATGGTTTATTTAATTAGGCTGTTAGCCCCTGGAATTCGTTGAACAATGATCTAAAACTTTGTACTTCTATTTCAGGATTTAAACGTAGTGTTAAGAAACAAATCGCCAGTACAATTGTAACACGCACCAAACAGCCTACAAATATATTTAAATGATTTATTTTTCACCCTGGCCCTGCTATTCATAGCATGATTACTCGTATTTATATACCACGCTTGTAGATGCACGCTTGCGACTCCAGATCACCCCTGATGCAAGACACTACTAGACTGGAGTGTCGAAACGTTGGGTCGTGAATCCAATTCGACTGGGCTTTGCATTCATTTATAAAAAACAGAGTAGCGAGCAAAAACACGACTGATATACCTGGTTGCCGTGAACTCACAAACTTTGAATCATTAAAATTTTTAGCGAGCGTGGGTGCATGATATCTTTAGAAACAGGAAGTCCCTTTGAAATTGCACTGCACTTATGTATACTGTTTGTATATCGGTTGAATGTATACAAAATACATAATAGTATATTCATTATCCGAACGAAGACATATCGATACAACTCGTAAAGGAGGGAAAAAAGCAATGTTTAAAACTTGCCTATCACGAAAAAAATCGCGTAAGAAGACCAACTGTTAAAAAAATCCTAAAAACTACATTTCGTATGGTAAAAGCCAAAAAGATAATTGTAGAAGAATACCTTCGTACTTTGTCCTTCGAAATAAGTAATCATTTTTTATTAACATCATGCAATTGAACGCTTTTTTGTCAAATACAGTCAGTGGTGAAGGGTTTTACGGAAGTTGAAAGGAAAATTGGGTGCCAAGTAATTATGGATCAGGCCATTTTCTTTGAAAGAGTCAAAGAGGTGTTTTACGTCTTTCTTATATTTCATGTAAATGAAATATAATATGTGATATGTGAGAAATATTTATTGCACAGTGATCAGTAATACAGACAGTTAGTTTTCCATACTATAGGTTGCTCTATAAAAACTATAAAGTTGAAAAGAAGTACAGTATTGTATTTAGAATTATTACCACAGAGTTCCCAATAGAAGCCGGCACCAGGCGATTTTCGACAATCGCTGGTTATTTCTCACACCTTCAGCCGCAGTAGCCGCCTACTATACGTGTTTCAAAAAGGCCTGCTCACCAAAAATTCTAGTGGGAACCCTGTACCAACTATGATAAACGTGGGAATACGTTCACTATCGTAGTGTTAGATATGAACACGTACTTTGAATTAAATCTAAATTTAGAGATTATTATTTTTCTACTTCAATTGTTGTAATAATGATTTTTTGGAAAATGTAGATATAATAGTTTTTAGTTTTGGTAAAAAATGGTTTTTTAACTTGTCTCGTAGGATGTGTATATTTTAAACAATAAGTCATAGTTTGGGATAGGGTTAATTAATATTAGGGTTGTGGTTTACCGTGTGTCTAGTGTTATAGGGTTACGACCGGTTTTGAATTAAATTTTGATGAGGATTTAGTCATTTAGTGTAATGGTTATATGCGTGGCGTTAGCAGGCATCATTGAAATGCGCGAGCAAGCGAGCGCTGCTCGCAGGCACGTTTTGAAAGTTTGCACTGAGGCACATTTTAAAATGTTGTTAAAATCCTGACATTTTAACAATATTGAACTCCCAAAACCTAAATGCGATGCATTTTTGCAAGCATGCACATTTGTAAATTATGAATTTTTCTCGTAGGCACTAAATAATATTAATAAGCCGTGAGTGTCAGATCATCCTAGGTCGACTTTTGTCAGTCAAGGTTATGTTTCGGATTCGAAACTAGTGTTTTGAAAGAAACTTGATGATCGCTTTAATTATCTCATTTGTTTAATTGAGCCGTAGTGTTTGACCTGCGGTAAATTAAGTGAGCAACCTTTGAACACACAGTTGGTCACCAGACAAACAAAAGAATTGTATTTTTAGTGACATTTTTTATTTTTATTGAGACGCAAGACTCTATTGGTTGCCTGGTCTACTCGTCTCAGAGATCATAAAACTGTTCATAAATACGATCAACTGTTCAAACAAATAAGGAAATAGTGAATTAATCCAATCACTAACTCCAGAATCAACCAATGACACACAGTGACATCATGTCCACATCAAAGGATTACAACAAGCACAATGGCGCGAGATGACGTGACACCTGACCATTTCGGTTATTTTGGACCACAGTGTTTTCGATTAAAGATCTTTTTGTCACATAGGAAGTCTACAATATTTTAAAGACGTTTTGTTCTCAATGACCTTTTTAAGATTGCTTCACAGACGGTGCTCATTAGATACTGTATAGGATGCAGTCATGAAGACTGGTAGTGGGGTGCACTTTATCATACTTGTGCTATTGCTGGTAACCTGGACAAATGGAGTAAGTATACGTACTTTCACATTTTTCGATCTTCACATTATAGAGATATTGTTCATGCACTTCATGGCATGTTTTCGTTGCGCAACGTTTGACAAACTATAGCTGTTCTGGAAATAATTCCAGCTAAACTAGCTGTTCTGGAAATAATTCTAACCATAATCTGGCATAGACCAGTATAATGCAAACGCATGCAAGGCCTAATATTCGCTCAGACCAAGACGCCGTGAACGCCGAACGAATGTTGAAGTTACAGAGGTCAAGAATTGGACATCAAGGACACTTAATCAACAGAGCTGAATAATATGATAAGTGTTCTTTCATATGATACTTATAATGTGGATTCTGTAAAGGAACTCTTAGAGCTATTTAATAGACAGTCGGAACGGTTTAATCTAGTACATAATGAAGTTTTGTTGTTTGCCGATTGTGACCCATCAACCGTAGCGAGTGCTATGCATGCATATAAGTAGCAGTTCGCTAGAAAGACAGAGCTATTAAACAAAGTTAGTCAATATTTACAATCTCACGATAGGGGAAAAACTACCAGTCGAACTTGAGACTAGAAGTAATGCTAGTTTAAGCTCGTCTAATTCGTTGTCGTCTGCAAAATCAATAGCAAGCTCGAAATCGCGTGAGATGCGATTAAAGCCAGAAAAAGCTGAGCTATATCTGAAACAGCTACGTGATCGACAAAGTCGAAAGTGTTGAGAAAGACGTCGAACGTCTTAAGTTAGAAATGCGTCAAGCCATAGTCATAGAACATGAGCAGAAGTCAGAAGATGACATTGAGATTGCTAAGCTAGAAGAACGGTATGCTGTCGAAGAAGAACGAAGATTGTATGCAGATGAGAGATTATACTAGCATGCAGATTTTAATGAACGCACTGAAGGCCTAAATTTGAATATCGTTACACTTCGCCGGCCAAATTTACGTCTTCGGGAACAAAAGGTCAGTTCCACTTCGACGAGCCAAAGCAAAATGTTAAAACTATAATCGCGTATAATTGACATTAGCGATAGATATACGGATTCGAATACAATACAACAACTTGGCCGAAGCGCTTGCTAATCTATCACATACACCATCAATAGAAATAACGAAGTTTACGGGAGACCCGAAAGATTATCTAAGAGTCGTTACTCGGTTTCGCGACAAGTGCCTTTCCCAGCCAATTCAAGAGAGCAAGAAGCTTAGCCGTTTGATGCAATATTTAGGGCCTGTTTATATGATCCCGCCTAGACGGGACGTTTTCGTCCCGCCTAGATGGGAAACTCGCCTAGTGTTTATATGGACAAAATACATTACCGGGATGAAGCTTGACGTCATATTTTTGTTGCAATAAAGGCATTTACGCATGCTCAAAAGGGAAAAGTTCATCCCGCCTAGCCGGGATGAAGTGTTTACATGGGAATTTTTCGTCCCGGCTAAGCGGATGAAGCGTTTATATGGGAATTTTTCATCTCGCTTAGGCGGGATCCCGGCATCTGTTGCCGAGATCCCGTCTAGGCGGGATAAGTGGCGGGATCTTATAAACACTCTTTAGAATTTGTATTACGAGCGGGATCTCGGTAAGCATCCCGCCCCGCCTGGCATCATATAAACATGCCCTTAAGAGGTTGTCTAGAGGTATGAAGGAATGGGATCTGGAGCCTTGTTATAAGCCTTGAGTGTATTGAAAACTCGTTTTGGGCAACCTTAAATGATTGTTGACGTATTTATCGTATCAATTGTGAAGGGTCCAAGCGTTATGAACGGCGATGGAGAAAGCCTTCAGAAGTTAGCTGATAAATGTCAGTCTGTCTTAAAGACCCTCGAATCGATGAAAAGTCTTAATAAAATCAACACTGATCATATGCGAAAGATTGTGGCTCGTTTAGCGTACTACAATCAATCTAGATGGAGAGATCGTGCCAGTGTCATATTAAGGGAAAGAGGTTCGCCACCGAATTTTCGAGACTTAACAGAATTCCTTTAAAAGAGAGCACAATATGGGAATAACCAACTATATGGGAACTTAAAAGATTCGGAAAAAGATAATGCCAATCGCACGGAGAAGGAAGAAAAGAGCCCATTTCAAGTTTCGCAACTCAGTATGGATTCAAACGACCTAGTTCTGCATACGAAAAAAGAGCTCTAGTATGCCATGTTTGTCGAGGAGATCATAATTAACCTGCAGGTGTGCAAGAAATTCCTCCATATGCCAACGGTAGAGAGAAGAAAGGTTGTTCTCGAGTCCAAGTTATGTTTCCAATGTCTTTCAACCGGACATTATAAGAGATTTTGCAAGGAAGGCAGATGTCAAGTTGAGAGTTGTAACAGAAGACACCATGAGCTGTTGCATTTGGCCAGTATAAAGGTAAAAAATCCAAAGTCGACGAAGTGACAAAACGCGATGCCACCGTTCAGACGAACGCTGCGAATATCCTTCCACAAGTGAGTCGAGGCACGACAGCGCTACTAGTAGTAGCAGTTAAGGTTCATGGTGCTGACGGTCGAGAGATAACTACCTATGCCCTGTTAGATCAAGCAAGCGAAGCCTCGTTTATCCATGCCAACTTAGCAAAGAAACTTAATTTGAAGGGTTCGAGAGGTACACTGTCAGTGAAGTCGTTGACTGGAACAATCTCAATTGAAACAGAAAAGTTAATGTCGTCTTGGAATCAGAAAACCAAGCTAGCCACGGTTCGAGATTATTAGCCAGAGACGTAATCGTTACGGACAGTTTAGACGTGCAGCTGAAAGCCGCACCGACAAGGAATGACGTACGAGCATGGAAACACCTGTCAGACATTGACTTCCCAGAAGTTGAATTGGAGGACATTCTCGTTCTGATTGGTGCTGATAATCCCGAGGTTTTCATAACTCACGAAATCAGAGCAGGTGGCGTGGAGGAGCCTTGGGGATTCAAATACAAGTTGAGATGGGCCTTGATGGGACCAACAAATCGGCCTCAGACAAGTCAAGTTGACGTCCATCTTTTGCAGCGTTCAAACGCCGATGTGGAAGATATAGCTTTTAAGGATGACGTGAATCGGTTTTTCTATGAAGATGATCTTGGTGTGGTAACGAGTATCAAGAAGGCCATGTCCGTCGAAGATAAGAAAGCAGAAAAGATGATGGAAGAATAATCAGTGATTGTCAATGGACACTATGAAATTGGTATGTTGTGGAAAACTGAGGATTCTCAACTACCAAACAACCGAGATGTTGCGCTCAAGCGTTTTCGACACCTCCAAAATCGCCTCAAGAAAGACAAAGAGTTACATACGAAATATCAAATCAAAATAGAAGAATACGTTGAGAAAGGCTACGCAAGCAAATTACAACCTGAAGAAACAAACTTTTCCAAGCGAACTTGGTATCTCCCTCACCACCCCTGCAAAATCCGCATAGTATATGATGCAGCAGCTAAATGCAAAGGAACATTAAATGACGAACTTCTCCATGGGCCTAACTTGGCTAAACGAGATAATCGAAGTGCTATTGAGGTTTCGCAAAGAAGAAGTAGCTATTGCAGCTGACATCCAAGAAATGTTCCACCAGGTGAAAGTCCCCGAAGAAGATCGAGAATCGTCGAGGTTCCTTTGGTCCTCAAACAACTTAGATGATCCAGAAGAATACCATATGAACGTTCATATATTCGGAGCTAAAGATTCCCCGTCTATTGCCAACTACGCATTGAAGAAAACGGCGAGAGATAACGCTTGTGACTTCAGTGAAGCAGCAGTGAATGCCATGGGAAAAGATTTCTACGTGGACGATTTATTGAAATCACTTCCCAACGTTAAAGATGCGAAGCAACTCCCCCGCGAGTTAATGAAACTTCTCAGAAGTATCCATTTAACTAAATGGATAAGTTCAAGCAAGGAGGTCCTAGCTTCTATACCGGAGCCAGAGCGAGCAAATCCAATGTTGAATTTAGACCTAGATAACTTACCGATATTAAGAGCTCTCGGACTTCAGTGGAACGTTGAAGAAGACGCATTTGAATTCAAGGTGATCGACGTAGATAAACCAGAGACGAAGAGGGGAATCTTGTCGACCATCGCTTCATTGTATGATCCAATGGGATTCGCTGCGCCAGTAACATTGTTAGCTAAGTCACTACTACAGAAACCTTGGCAAAAGAAAGTTGATTGGGATCAGCAACTTGCTGAAGCCGAATTAGGAGACTGGAGACGGTGGAAGAATGATCTTTCAGTCCTTTCAAAAATCAAGATTCCACGTTGTTACAAGACCACCGTAGCTGTTACCAACAAGGTTAAGGATTGTGATATGACAAAGTGCGTCAAGGAAGTCCAACTTCACAACTTTTCTGACGCCAGTGAAATTGGTTACGGATCTGCATCGTATCTTCGAACTGAGTTTATCGATGGAAGAGTGACGTATTCACTTGTATTTGGTAAATCTCGCACCGCACCATTGCGAAAGATATCCACGCCTAGAGTTACAAGCAGCGGTATTATTTGTTCGAATCAGCGAGATAATACAGCGTGAAATTGAAATAACATTCAGCAAGATTTGCTACTGGACCGATTCAGAAGTTGTGCTGAAATACATTCAGAATAAAGATAAAAGATTTACTGTATATGTTGGTAATCGTACAGCCGAAATCAGAGAAAAATCCGAAGTGCAACAGTGGAGATATTGCCCAAGTAAAGAGAATCCGAGTGATGACGCCTCTCGTAGACTGAAACCATCGGAAATGACATTTGACTGTCGGTGGTTGGTTGGTCCGTCATTTTTAAAAGGTCCTGAATCGGGTTGACCACAGATAAATCTACGGAAAGATATAGAAGAAGAAGATCCTGAAATTCCAATCCAATGTAGTGGTTGAAGTAAAAAGACCAGCTATATACGAACTATTAGAAAGATATTCATCATGGAATGTGCTCAATGCAAAGATCGTGTGGCTGACGAGATTTAAGTTTCTCTTGAGTCGTTGCCTTCATCGCTCTTACATATGTCCTTTCGGAAAACCCACCATTCCTGAGTTAGAAAATGCAGAGAATGACATCATGAGAATGATCCAGCAGCAAGTGTTTTCAGAAGAATGCAATGCCCTCAGCAAATCGGGGAAAGTAAAGATATCAAGCAGCATCGCGAAGATCAATCCTTTTATTGGTGAGAACAATATTATTCGAGTGGGAAGCAGATTAGAATACGCTCATATAAGCTACAATGCCAAGTTTCCACCAATCCTACCAAAACAACATTGGGTATCGGAGCTGTTAGCAAGGTACGTCCATTGTAGTAATGCCCATATTGGTCAAGAGCATACCTTGAATATATTATGCCAAAGAGTTTGGATCTGTTTTGCTCGTTCCCTGGTTCGGAAGATTATCAACAAATGTTTTGTCTGTAGAAGAGGACACGCTCCAAAGCTCTAACAACAAATGGCACCTTTACCACCATGTCGGGTTATGGCGTACGAACCACCATTCACTTACGTGGGAATTGACATGTTCGGACCTTTGTTGATAAGACAAGGTCGATGTACGCCTAAAAGATGGGGATGCATTTTTACGTGTATGACCACTCGTGCAATACACCTGGAAGTCGCAGCGTCACCAGAAACTGACGATTTCATTAATGTTTTGCGACAATTTATCGCCTGACGAGGAACCCCGAAAGAAATACGAACGGACTGTGGCACGAACTTCCGTGGGGCTGATAAAGAGTTGAAGTGCAACGAAAGCTTGGAGTGAAGATCGTCTTGAAGATCAATTATCTCAACGAGGAATTGACTGGATATTCCACCCACCGAATGCACCGCATTTCTCTGGATTGTGGTAAAGGCTAATAAGGGAGACAAAACGTGCATTGAAATTTGGAAGCCTTAAAGGGGGCCTTGGTAACAGAACATGTACTGCGAACAGTTTTCTGTGAGGTGGAGTCGATACTTAATTCACGTCCTCTAACGAGATCAAGCGAGGATGCAGCTGATGCTACCGCATTACGCCTGCCCATGTTCTGCTGCAGAGACCAGCAGTTGTTGTACCCATTGGAGATTTTAACGAAGACTCGGTTATTGGTAGAAGAAAATGGAAGCAAGCGATGTTCGTGTCGGAGATTTGGTCCTGGTACATGAAAAGAAGATACCAAGAGGATTGTGGCCTATTGCGATAGTAAGAGTTTTTCCTGGACCAGACAATCGTATAAGAACTGTAGAGATTAAAACAAAGGATACTGTCTTAATGCGACCAATTGTGAACATTAGTCTCTTGGAACAGTGTGATAATTAAATGTTAATCACGTTTATTATTAGCATGACAAAATTACTGGATGCTGATTGGTTGAGAGGAGTACAATTATTTCATTAATTGCACTGCAGTACAATTAATGATTTTCCCAAAACAAACAAATGGCAGAAAGGTATTTTAAACACAAATGTGAAATGAATTTGCCCTAGAGGAACTAGATGAAAAACGAACAAAAGCACCAAATCTTGCTTTATCAAAAGAACTAAATGAAAATACGAACAAAAGCACCACATTTTGGTTGAAAGTATGGCAGGACTGGGCTTTGGCGAGAGAATATGATGTTGACATTGAGAAGTATCCAATATATAGAAAACACACACTTCATTTGTATAGGTAATCATGCAATGTTGCTCGTACAGTTAGGGATTAATAGTGCTCGTGATGTTTGGAAATTTGCCAAATTGGACTCGCCCCGGTGGCTCGTCCAATTTTGGCAAAATTTCCAAACATCACTCGTACTATTAATCCCAAATTGTACTCGCCATCGCATGATTACCTATACAGTCTATACAAATGAAGTGTGTGTTTTCTATATAAGGCCGTGTACACGTTGTAAAAAGTTAGTTGTTTGAAATATAATAAAGTGTGAGTAAAAACCCAAGATATGGCGATTACATAAAGATTTAAACAAGCAACGTGTGGATCTTAATTTACCATAACAATACTTTTCTTTGTTCAAAAACAACCGCAATGACGTTAATGACCAATGTGTATTAAGTCGGATAATATACCTTTGCTCTCGGTATTTTAGAAATAATGAAAATAATAATTTTCAAAATTATTTTTAATAATATCTCGAGCATTATCCTATACAATAACCCCATAAAAGGCGAAATCGGCTTGGCAGTATAACAGACGAACTACACATTTAATCACACAACGCACAGGAAACCATGACGCGAGTTATGATGTGAAAGAGCTTTCTTACAAGTTATTTTTGATCCGTCACTGAAGAATTAACTATTGAATAAAAATAAAGTGAAACCTAAATGACATGGCGTTGAGGGCTTACTCATTTCTGGCAGTGCTACTGACGGTTAGCCTTTGGGCAAATGGACAAGGTATTTTACTTATAATATGACAATACGATATACTCGATTCTAAATTATTTTATCAATTCTATATTTGTTTTTCTCTAAGGATATTATATACAAAAGTATATTATACTTTTGGTTGCGGTCAGTCACTCTATGAAAGTTGATGAAAAGTTTTATTGAAAAGACCAAGTCTTAGCAAATAGAAAGCAAAGACGTGCTTATATAGCCTTGGCCAGCAATCACTTGGCACTTACAAACGGTTTTATCACTCATGCAAGCCAATTACAAGGGCAAGGGTCCCTATATTTACATTCATGTATGCATTTAGTTTAAACTCGTGTTTCTACTCCGAGTGTGATATACATTTACACTGTTTACATTGCCACAAAGCTTATAGCTTAGGCCTAGACTAACGATCACTGTGGCCCTCGATGTTCTGGCCACCTGGATCAGAACTTTATTTACTAGACCAGATTAAAGTTTGTCTAGAAGGCCCGGTCCAACAATGTTTGAAGATGTCGCCACACTATTGGATGCGAATTTTAAAAAAGTCAAACCCAATCCATCATGTCCCATCATTAGCCAACATTACCCAACATAGGTTAAACGAGGCCAACGATGTTGCATCCAACCCAATATTTTGGCCTCGTTTGAAGGAGATTTTACACTACTCGACTTACTTTAAAATGTTCTTCAAAAGTCTGAAATTTTTTCTACCCGAAGCTTTCCAAGTGACGTTGACGATTTTTGTTGGCCAAACTAATATACTGGCGAAATAGAACAAAATCGTGTAATGTGATTCAATTAATATTAACTATTAATAATATTAACTAATACTAATGAGGAAACCATGTCCATGTGTATATATTACACAGATATAAACTAATGCGATTGATATTATATTCTCTTTCAAACTTTACTACATGGTAGCAGCGGTGGAATACTTGAGTAACAAAAAGAAATTAAATAAAATAGCAGATAAGTACAAATAAAAAAGCAAACAAAAAAAACAAAGTCTATACGTATGTGTGAAGTAGAGTACGAGAAACCTATTTCAGTATAGTTAAATATGGCAGAACCAAATGAGGTAAATACCGCGAGAAGTTTCACAACATATCAAGTGACACCGCCGTCTAAATTTAGTTGTAAATCCTCGGAGTAGACCCGATGGATTCGTCGCTTTGAGCGATTCAGAATTGCAACAGAACTCGACAAGAAAGAGGAAGCCAAACAAGTAAACGCGCTCATATATACTATGTGTCTATGGGCGACGAGGCAGATGATATTACATCGTTTGGTCTCAGCGAACAAGAAATGAAAAGCTACAAAACAGTTCGAAACAAGTTTGAAAATCACTTCATCGCCAAACGAAATGTTATTTTCAAAAGAGCGAAGTTCAACGTTCGAATTCAAGACGAAAACGAACCTGTCGAAAGCTTCATTACTGACCTGCATTGGGCTATTCCATTTAATATCGGTACCCCCCCTGTCGAGGATACATATTTTTTATTGTCATACCCCTGAAGAATTCCAAGCTCAAAACTGTTTACCCCTGAAGAATTCCAAAATTCCAATCTCAAAACTCTTTACCCCTGAAGAATTCCAAGCTCAAAACCTTTTGCCCCTGAAGAATTCCAAAATTCCAAGCTCAAAACCCTTTACCCCTGAAGAATTCCAAGCTCAAAACCTTTTACCCCTGAAGAATTCCAAGCTCAAAACCCTTCACCCCTAAAGAATTCCAAGCTCTGAAAAATTTCAATCTCAAACCTCTTTACCCCTGAAGAATTCCAAGCTCAAAACCCTTTACCCCTGAAGAATTCCAAGCTCAAAACCATTTACCCCTGAAGAATTCCAAACTCAAAACACTTTACCCCTGAAGAATTCCAAGCTCAAAACACTTTACCCCTGAAGAATTCCAAGCTCAAAACCCTTTACCCCTGAAGAATTCCAGGGATCCTCGACAGGGGGGGTACGGATATTAAATGGAATAGCCCATTGTCTTGCTAAATACTGCGAATTTGGCGTATATATTAAAGGATCAACTAATAAGAGATCACATCGTCATCGGACTGAGAAATAAAAAGTTATCTGAGAAATTACAATTAGATCCAGATCTTACTTTAGCGAAAGCCATGGCTCAAGCCAGACAAAGCGAGGAAACCAAGGAACAACAAAACATTTTTCATGGACAAAAATCGACCGGAAGTAGCGAGCATAATATTGACAACATTTCTAAGAATAGAAAACAACCCTCGCGGGACTCGCGTGAAAAAAATTTTAACGACAGAAAATACGGTAAAACGGACGGCAAACCCAAATGTACGCGGTGTCTCGGACCAGCGCATTCCAGGCAATTCTGCCCAGCAAGTGAGTCTGTCAAACATAACTGTTCAAACAAAGGACATTGTTCAAACAAAACATTGTTCAAACACTGAATAACTGTTCAAACAAAGGACATTGGGCAAAAGCGTGTCAAAGCCAAGCAAGCCAACAACTTCGCAAGAAACAAGTTAACGAACTAACTTCCCACCAAGAAACCGAGGAGGAAAGTTCGTCTGAGGAAGATGTCTACTTTTTGGGCGAAGTCGTACACCTCGACACTATCAAGAACTCTGGCAATAAACCGTGGACTGTGGACATAAAGGTAAACGAAACAAATATTTTATTCAAAATTGACAGCGGAGATGACGTCACAGTGATACATTCAATAGTATATCAACAACGAAAACTACAGTCAACACTCAAGTCTACTGGCAAAGTTCTTATGGGCCCGTGCAATTACAAAATGAATTGTATAGGAACATTTTCTTCACAGCTGCGACACGAGGACAAGACAACTACAGAAGAAATATTCGTCGTCAAAGGACTCGAAAGATCACTATTAGGAAGACAAGCAGCCCAGAATCTGAATTTACTCGACGCCCTAAACAGCAACGGAATGAAAGAAAGCGTTAAAGAAAAGTATCCTAATCTTTTCACTGGTTTTGGACAAATTAAAGACCAAGAGTATGATATTAAAATCACGCACGAAGCAACACCTTTTGCAATCACGGTTCCACGACAAGTTCCGATACCACTTCGAAAAGAAACCGAACGGGAATTACAAAGAATGGAACGCAACGGAGTGACATCTCGAGTTGAAGATCCAACCGAATGGTGCGCCCCGATGATTCTCACGCCAAAAAGCAATGGAAAAGTTCGAGTATGTGTAGATCTCACAAAGCTAAATCAGTCTGTGCAACGCGAAAACCATCCCCTACCAACAACCGACACGACATTTGCAAACCTTGCTGGAGCTCGGTATTTTTCAAAATTAGATGCCAACTCTGGATTTTGGCAAATCAAACTCTCGGAAAGGTCAAAACCTCTAACAACGTTCATAACACCCTGGGGACGGTACTGTTTCAACGTTCTTGCTTTCGGAATAAGTTCAGTGTCTGAAAAGTTTCAGAAATGTATGTGCCAAATTCTGGAAGGTTTGGATGGCGTCGAATGCAACATCGATGACGTTCTAGTTCACGGCGCAACACAAGAAGAACACGATCGAAGATTGGAAGTGGTCCTCCAACGACTCGGTAACGCCAACGTCACGCTCAATGCCGTAAAGTGTGTTTTTAACGTCTTGAGTGTGAAATTTCTAGGTCAGATAGTGGGAGCTGATGGCATAATCCAGAGAAAATACAAGCGACTCCCGAAATGCCACACCCAACCAACCTACATGGAATCCGTTCTTGGAATGGTAAACCAATTTAGCGAATTTACTACCAATCGTGCTGACCTGACAATGCCCACCCGAGAACTTCTAGTTAAGAATACCGCGTGGACATGG